CCATGTTCCAACTTTCTGGGATTGACCATAGTATGGCGGGTCAGGGACCATACGCCGAAGAGGATTTTGGTTTAGAAGTTTTGCCACCTTTGGGTGTGAGCTTTGCCGGTGCTGCGGGGTCTGAAATGCTGATTACCTCACGAACTTTAACCCCGGACCTGTGAGGCCTGGAAAGAGCTTCAGACACCAAATCTAAGGCCGTCGCAAGCCTTAGAAGCAGCCCCGCTCGGTGCTACGACAAAAGCCTGAAACCCAAAGTCCCGAAACCAAAAGCCCTTGCACGGCCCTTGTCGAGGCACTCCGAACAAGCTCAAGACTCAACATTCGTAGGGTTCAGGGGCAACTCCTGAGGCCTCCCCGCACTCCCTGCCTTCCCCGAGATTGCTTCTGCCTGCCCCTGCCTGTCCTAAACCCCAAACTTAAGGATCCACTAAAATTTTTGGAAGCTCCAAAGATGTTCGGCTCTTCTTGGGTTGCCGGAAGAGCTAGGGTCTCGGGTTTTGTTGTTACATAAGCCTTGGTGCTTTGGGGTTCGAAGTGGTGGGTGTTTTTTTTTTTTGGGGGGGGGGGAGCCTTCATTACACAGTAACTTCCGTCATGGCGGCTTTGAGCGAATTTAGGGCTTCAGGGCTCAGCGGAAGTAGGCTTTGGGAGGTGGAGCTCAAAAGGCTCGGGCTTGAGGGCTATATTCTAGCATAGTCATGACGAAGAGCCCTAGGTCCTAAAAGGTGGCAAGGGCATGATTCAGGCCCCGATACTACCTGCTATGCCCTAAACCCTAAATCCTAAANNCCTTAAACCCTAAAGCCTTAAATCCTAAACCTTAAACCCCAAGACCTTTGGCCAAGCTGCAGGATCTTGAAGATCTTGCTCCCTCGCAACCTCTGGATCCCATCAAACCCTAAACCCTAAACCCTAAACAGAAACACACAGTTCAAATCCCCCCTGAACCCTAGATCCTCCACCTTACTGTCCAACGGGGCGCAGGGATTTGCGGGCGCTTCAAGGTTTGGGTCTGCTGGATATTGGGCCCGAAACTTCAACGGCTAAAGGCTTCGAGACGAGCATTGCAGGGCCTAGGCTTTTTCTCTCTCACATGGCTATCAAGGCTTACAGTAGAAGCCAGAAAGTTGGAACATCTTTATCCTCATGCCCTTACTAGCACTGACCCTCCTAAACCTATGTTCCAACTTTCTGGGATTCGCTACATTTTTTTGGACTTCAGGGCTTTCATCAACTTTCCGGCGCAGCACGGATGAGAAAACGCCCAAAAGCCCGGAGGGAGTCTCAAGGCTCCAAAAGGAGACCCCCTGGGGGCCTCCCTCCCCTGAAAGTGTCTGTGACTTACCTTAAGTAGGTTCTTATTGTAAACCCTAATATGGGATTTATAGGGACCCTACAAAAAAGTAGGTTTTGGGTTCTTAAGGTAGGCTTGTCCAACTCCCGTGATCGCTTCGACTGGAATCCTTCCTTGAACAAAACGGAACTCTTTGGGCTCTCCCTTTAACCTGTTGCCACAAACCCTCATAGAACCCTAGACCCTCGTAGGCTCTCTCGGCCCCAAGCCCTGAACCCTAAACCCTAAACCCTAAACCCTGAACCTAAACCCTAAACCCTACATCAACCTCGAGCCGAAATGCAGCTTCACACTCTCCACCTGACCTGGCACGCCGTCCACGAGGTGCTCCAAGGGCAACTCAGATGCACGTTGAGGCTGGGGTTTAGGGTTTAGGGTTTAGGGTTTAGGGGCCTTTGAGGCTTGATCATCTATGATAACCTCAACGTTGTCTGGGTGTGGTGCAAGGTGATTTGGCCGAAGCTCCGATTTCACCAGAGTGTAAGGGAGTCAAGTTTTTGAGTTCGCGTCTCACCACACACTCGACGAAACGAAAGTTCTTTGCACCTACACCCTAAACGTCATCAACAAAGATTGAGAACCCCCGCGGCTCGGACTCAGATTATTCTTGAAACCTCTTGCACCACCTTGTCTTGCCTTTCTGAGGGCAAAGCCCGCTGGCCCGTCCTTATGAAGCCCTGCGCCTTTGAACTAGTCAGAGACAGGGGACAGCCTAAACCCCTAAACCCTAAA